GGTCTGATCTGCTTTTCAGCTCGGTTCCTTAAGAACTCTATCATTTTTCATTTGTGATTCTTTTCGGCAGCCTCCTGCTGAAATCCTAACTTATCACAGTTTCACACAAAGCTTCTGTGTAAGAGAAAACGAGATCACGCTGAGTGAAGACTTGCTACGGTGACCCAGGATGGCTACGGTGAGCCGAAAAGAACGAGGAGTTTCCTGGCAGCCCAAGTGAGAACAAACCAAGGTCAGTTCCTTAAGCTTGAGAAAATCTGTCCTCGCAATACTTAGAGACTCTAAAATGCAAAAAAAAAAGAACTTGTACCTATAGATTTAGCTTTAGTTTTAAAATAACTAAATATGGATTAAATCAAGGGAAACTTGATAGCTACACACTGGGAAGCAAAGCAGCAGAGGGTCACAATAAGGCAGGTGGAACTGAAGTGATGAGGTTCCTTGGGATTGGGGTTAAAAGGAAGCTTTGCTGAAGATGTTTATTTTCTTAACTCAGAATTGTGTTTAGGGCCATTATTGTGTCTTGGGATTCATAAACATTGCTTTCTTATTTGGAATTTGGGGAAGGTCAAGGAAAGGGTGGTTCCTGTGCATGTTTAAATCCCAAATCACTCCATGTACTTAAACAGACTGTACTATTTCTTTCATCAGCTTAAACAAGGGTTTTTTTTTCTTTAAAGTCGCTGGATTTTACTCATATTGCTACATATTGACCAGGTTCAGGACCCAAATAATATGTTTAGCCAATTATAATGTGTAATTTCTCCCACAGTTAATGTTTCTGATATTGGGATGCATCACACAATCAATGTGTACATTTAATGTGGGAATGCACCAACTTTGTTTCCTCTAAAGTGTTGTCATTAAATAAATAGCACATTTACAATTTGATAATGTTTTAGTTTCCAGGAAATACTGTATTATTATTAACATGAATAACAAGCATATGAATTTGAGCATGAAATACAAAGGTACTTAAAATATTAATGAAAATGTATTTTATGAAAAACTTACACATGGATTTTTTAGTAGGGCCATCTTCTGTCGCCTTCTCAGGTGCATTAGCAGGGAACTGGATTAGAAGTGGGACAGACAGGATTCAAACCAGCAAACCAATATGGTATACTGGAGTCAAAAGCAGTGGCTTTGCTTTTGTTATACTCACTGCTTACTCAAATATGCCACACAATTTCAGCCTGGATACCTTTCCATGTAATCTTATCTTTGCATGGAAAACCTTTCTTAGAATTTCATCCACTGTCAAAATCCTATCCACTCCACTGGCGCCGTGGCTCAATAGGCTAATCCTCCACCTAGTGGCACCGGCACACCGGGTTCTAGTCCCGGTCAGGGTGCCGGATTCTGTCCCGGTTGCCCCTCTTCCAGGCCAGCTCTCTGCTGTGGCCCGGGAGTGCAGTGGAGGATGGCCCAAGTGCTAGGGTCCTGCACCCCATGGGAGAAAAGGATAAGCACCTGGCTCCTGCCTTTGGATCAGCGCGGTGCGCCGGCTGCAGCGCGCCAACTGCAGCGGCCATTGGAGGGTGAACCAACGCCAAAGGAAGACCTTTCTCTCTGTCTCTCTCTCTCTCTCACTGTCCACTCTGCCTGTAAAAAAAAATCCTATCCACTCAAACAGTGTTGGCCCCTTCCTTCTTTATGTCACCATGCACCTGATATATGCCTCTAAATATGTATTTACCATACTGACAGATTTGTTAGGTATCTATCTCCTTTAGTATAAATTTCGTGAAGACAATGGACTGCTTCTTATATATCTTTGCATCTCTATATTTAGGACAATATTTGGTACATAGCTGCATTCACTAAGTATTTAAAGATTGAATAAATGAAGAAACATAAAGGACAAAGAGAAAAAAGTAAATAGAGAGAAAAAAGAATGACACAGAAATGGCCAAGTGCCAAAGCACCAACAAGTGTCCTCTTTGCTGCTACCCTGAAGTGGTGTCCATGACTTATCCGAACTTGAATTCCTGGTAGTCTTACAATTGTCCACACTGAGGTTAATTGTTAAAAACATTAGTTCATTTATGTTAGCTTGGTCTCCCAAGTCAACTGTAAATTCAGAGGAAAGGATGAAGTTTCTTCTGATGTATTTATTGAGATTTAGATAAACTGTATATTGCTTTTATGAGGTGTGATTTGATTTCCAACATTCTTCATTCAGGATACCTTTATTTATTAAAACTAGTAGCAATTTGTATGAGAGAAATGGAAAGGCTTACGACAATTTTATTTATTTAGGGCCTAGAATTTCTAGAGTTGAGAGCAGTCCTCAACACTAGACATCAAAAATGTAATTTCACAGTAACTTAAGAGAAAGAAATTTGAATATTACTGGTAAAACCCTGGGAGCTAATTACTTCAAGATCACTTGAAACCTTAACTCATTAGAGTTTGAAAAATTTCCTGAGGTACTTTGTCACTGTTCCCATTATATTACTTGATTCAACTAATAAGAGAAAGCCTAAAGTTCGAGCAAAAGAGATTCCATTTATCATTTGCTTAAGGAAAAACACTAAGCATTTCTTGTAGGTACTTCAGTATTCTGTAATGTACTGTGAGATAGGATGGAAAAAGATAGAAGCACAGTCCCTGATCTCAATAAACAAATTTTAATACCAGAATTTCTTGTATATGTTGCCAAAATTAGTTGAATTCCACACCTTAGATGAGGCCCAGACTTTTCAACAAGATCACTATGAGAATCAAACAAGCAAAAATAAGGTAGTATCACTGGTATTGTTGGTATTGCTGTTAATGTTATATAGAAGCTGTGATTGGCAAAGGATGCACTCCAGCAAGCTACAGTGCCCTTTGGATAAGGAAGACAAGTAATATTTTAGATGTTCTATTAGTATTTTAAGTCATAAATAAGTTCAGATCCAAAGATTAAGAATAAAATACATTTTAAATTTCTCATTGCAAGCTGAGTCATTACAAGAAATACAGAAATAAGACATGAGACAGATTCAAAGAAGGAAATATTTCATTCTGATTGCCTGCCAGCTCACAGAAGTTAACCAATCAGATGGCAGGCACAGTACAGAATTAGAGTGACAGAAAATTCAGTCCAATCAGATTAGGTCATTTTAATAGGACCAGAAATTGTGCTTGTCATATGATTTTATTTGGTTCATTTGTAAATTTTATCCAACACATATAAACAGTTTATTTTGAACATATTACCAATTTTAGCTATCTATCCTATTATTCCCCTATACCTGAAATACAGCAACCACACACTATTTATTGCCTATAATATTATGCATACAGTAGTCAGTCAATTTGGCTATAACAGTCATATAGAAAATTTGTTGGGAGGAGAGGCTTACCACTAGTTCATTACAACACGCTGTTGAAGGATCTTTTCTTGTCAATCCCAGGTATATATCTTCAGTTCCCACTTGCTGTTGGAATACAATCTCATATCTGAAAAAAAAGGATCACTGATAATTGATAGCAAATGAAAGAGTAATGTCCTGTCACAGAGCAGAAATCTAGAAATTTATGAGGACATACTATTCCAAAACCAAAAAGAACTAAATAAGTAAAGTCCTTGCAGTTCATCAGGCATACAGAACATAAAGGAACAGAAGTTTATAAATGTAGGTAAAACATATCAAAGATTGCAAAGCAGGATTGTTATTTTGCACATAATTATTTTCTTTTAAAAATTTTATTCATCCAGATGTATCTCTGTCTCTTTCTTTATGC